GTAGCTGGGACTATACGCATGCGCCACCACGCCAAGGTAATTTTTCATATATGTTTTTAGTCGTCCCAATAATTTCTATTTTTAGTAGAGACGGGGTCTCGCTCTTGCTCAGGCTGGCCTCGACCTCCTGACCTCGAGCGATCCTCCCTCCTCGGCCTCCTCCCAGAGTGCTGGGATGACAGGCGTGAGCCACCGTGGCCAGCTAATTTATTTATTGTACATATGTTTTAGTTGTCCAGCTAATTTCCTTCTATTTTATTTAGTAGAGACGGGGTCTCGCTCTTGCTCAGGCTGGCCTTGACCTCCTGACCTCGACCGATCCTCCCTCCTGGGCCTCCTCCCAGAGTGCTGGGATGACAGGCTTGAGCCGGACTGGGTTAGTCGTGTGAAATGCTCTCTGTGTTGTGTGCTGTGACGATTTAAAAGGGGAATTACTTGGTCTCTGCCTTGAAAAGAACGTGCTGGAAGGGCATACACGCTGGGGCCACTGTCACATGTTAATGGAGTGTGTCCCGGGTCTTAAATAAGGAGAGGATGAGGTCAGACTCTTGTATAGAGCCGGCATTTGAGCTGCAGGTTGGAAGAGGTGGTGACAGGTGGCGGGAGGGTGGGGACCGCGGAGGACGCCAGGATGCTGGCCAGGGGCAGCCGCTCGTAGGCGGCGACACCCGCGGAGCCAGACTTCCCAGCTCGGCCTTGGCTGATCCCAAGGAAGGCGTGGAGTTTTCTGGAACCCTGTAAACACATTTGCGCGTAAGATGAATATCAGCAGGAGGACCTGCCTCTGGTCCAAGTCTAGGAAGCTTCTAGAACGTCCCGGGAAGCCGTTGCCTTATTAACGTTAGTTAAAGAGACGGATCTATTGCAAGTTGCTGGTTATTCAGTGGAAGCGTGGATCAGCTTATTCACTTTACTTATTTTTTTTTTCTTTCTGAGACAAGAGTCTCACTCTGTTGTCACCCGGGCTAGAAGTGAGCGCCGTGGCGTCAGCCTCGCTCACGGCAGCCTCCGACTCCTGGCCTCCAGCAAGCCTCCTGCCTCAGCCTCCCTTCTGAAGTAGCTGGGACTACGGGCATGCGCCACCACGCCCGGCTCGTTTTTTCTCTGTATATATTTTTTTTACCAGCTAATTTCTTTTTATTTTAGTAGAGACGGGGTCTCGCTCTTGCTCAGGCTGGCCTCCAACTCCTGACCTTGAGCGATCCTCCCTCCTCGGCCTCCTCCCAGAGTGCTGGGATGACAGGTGTGAGCCACCGCGCCCAGCCTGGGTGATTTCTTTTGACTCCATGTGAAACCACAACTGTCCTGTACATACAGCCAAAAAAATTTGTTTTTGGTGATGTTTTCAAGAGCAAGTGGAAAGAGTTGCTAGAAAAATTCTTCTGAAAATTTTAGCCTCAATCACATAGTGGAGAGTTGGAATAAAATGAGTGTTGGGTTCTTTTTCTTTTGAATATTTGACATCAAACACTTTTTTTTTTGTTGTATTTTTTATTTGTTTTTTAGACGGAAATATTCAGGAAATTGAAAACTTTTTGTAAAAAAATATTTTTCTTTTGCATATATATTTTTATTTATCTTTTAAATCATTTGCTACATTTTTCTATTTTATATATTTTTCCTTTCTTTAAAGAAAACCAGTCCTTGATCATGGAAACTTCTTGAAACTAACCTTTAGCTTAAATTTTAGCCACTTAAATTTCTCTACGAGTTAATGATTACTTTTATTTTATCATTTTTTTTTTTATTTTTATTTTGTCCAAGGGTTTGGCCTTTGAACGAGTTGATGATTAAACATTAATTGCAAGAGGTGAACCTGGACATTTTTCCCCATTGCCCTTTTTTTGGGGGTTTTATTTGGTTTGGCTCATTCCACTATTCAGCCAGTTTTCCTCTATCGAAACAATGTTTTTCTAGATTTTGATGGAACCAGGGTTAGGCTTGAGGGAGCATTTAAAGTGCTACTCTGTGTACCATTGCTCCGCGCTGGAGTTTGTAGGGTAGAAATATTTAGACATGGGAGCCTGGCAAAATAGTTGCAGTGTTTTCATTCCATTCCATTCGATTCCATTTCCTTCTAAGAATAGCATCCGTTTATTTTTAGATTCTTACAAAACAAGTGCAAAATCCATTTGCTTCACTGGGGGTGTTATTTTTACTTTAAAATAATACCCATAAAGCAGTTTTGAATTGAATCCTAAGGCGTTTTTTATATATTTTTCTCCTTTATTTAAAAAAAATTTTTTTTAATGAATTTTCCTTTTTTTTTTTCCTTTTTTACCTCTGCAGTTGAAGAAGATAAGTCCTAAGCAGTTTTCAACATAAAAGTACACTAACATTTGCAAAGGGGAAGATTAGAAGAGAAGAAAATTCAAGGGTTGCCAGGGCTATCTATAGTGGCAATTTAGTCTACATCCTGGTCATTTCGCTAATGTTGTATTTAAATTTTAAAAAAATTTAAATAAAATTATTGAAATTAAATTATTTAAAAATTTAAAATAATAATGTAAATAAATTTAATAAATATATTTTAGAATTAATTTAAAAAATTTATTAAAATTAGAAATTAAATATTAAAATAAAGCAAAAAATGACCAGAGTAAAATAAATATTTATTTATTTATTTATTTATTTTTTGAGACAGAGTCTCACTTGTGCCAGGCTAGAGTGGAGTGTCCGTGGCATCAGCCTAGCTCACAGCAACCTCAATCTCCTGGCTCAGCTGATCATCCTGCCTCAGCCTCCGAGTAGCTGACCACAGGATGTGCCCACATGCCGGCTATTTTGTATATATATTTAGTTGTCCAATTAATTTTCTTCTAATTTGGTAGAGACGGGGTCTCGCTCAGGCTGGTTATCGAACTCCTGACCTTGAGTGATCCGCCCGCCTCGGCCTCCCAAAGTGCTAGGATTACAGGCGTGGAGCACCGCGCCCGGCCAAAATAAATATTTATTATATAAATATAGCAAAATGATCAGGAGGTCATTCAAACTAAATGAATATTTATTATAATAATAAATTACGAAATGGACCAGGAGATCAAAAATAAATAAAATATTATTTATTTGAGACAGAGTCTATGTATCGGCCGGGCATGGGGAGTGAGTGCTCGTGGCGTCAGCCTCGCTCACAGCAGCCTCCAACTCCTGGCCTCAAGAGATCCTCCCGCCTCAGCTCCCTCCCGAGTAGCTGGGACTACAGGCAGCGCCACCACACCGGCGATTTTTGGTATATTATTTTACGTTGTCCAGCCTATTTTCTTTCAATGAGTAGAGATCGGGTGTTGCTCTTGCTACGATAGTATACAGTGTTTACAATTTTAATTCAAATATATTTTATCATAGATTATAATGCCTATGTGTATAGTTGTGTAACTTTTTAAACAAATATATTGGCTAGTGTTTCCCACAGAATAATTTTCAGAAAAATGCCATTTAATGGAACAAAAGTTAAAAGAAGGCCGGGCGCGGTGGCTCACGCCTGTCATCCCAGCACTCTGGAGCCCAGGCAGGAGGCTCGCTCGAGGTCCGGAGTTGGAAACCAGCCTGAGAAGAGCGAGACCCGCTCTCTACTGTAAATGGAAGGAAATTAATTTGGCAACTTATGTATATAGAAAAATGAGCGGCGTGGTGGCGCATCGCTGTGGTCCAGCTACTCGGAGGAGGCCAAGGCGGAGGATCTCTTGAGGCCAGAGTTCAAGCTGCTTGTCGTGGAGGCTGTGCCACGGCACTCACTTTAGCTCCGGGCAACGAAGCTAGACTCTGTCTCAAAAAAAAAAGAAATTAGCTGGAAAAATAAAGAAATTATATAAATTATATATAAAAATTTAGCTGGGCCGTTCGGTGGCGCAGCCTAGTCGAGCTACTTTGGATGGCTGAGGCGGGAGGATCACTGTAGGTCAAGAGTTCGAGACCAGCCTGAGCAAGAGCGAGACCCCGTGTCAACCAAAAATAGAAAGAAATTGGCTGGACAACTAAAACCATATAGAAAAAGTCAGCCGGGTGTGGTGGCGCATGCCTGTAGTCCCACCTACTCGGAAGGGAGGCTGAGGCAGGAGGATGGATCCCTTGACCTCGGTAGTCGGAGGCTGCTGTGAGTGAGGCTGACGCCATGGTACTCACTCCAGCCCGGGTGACGGGTCGAGACTCTGTTTCGAAAAAAATAATAAGGGGGAGGGGGGAATGGACAATATAAGTAACCTTTACAGTTGTATCCCCATAATACGCTAAAATAAAATACAAAAATAAAAGTAAAAAAGGGGAAAAAAAGTATAAAAATAAAAAAAAGGAAAAAAAATAATGAACTATCATGAGAATTAAAAAAAATAGTTGCACAACTGTGCACTTAGGCATTATATAGCTGTTTGTTTTAAAGTATATTTGATCGGAAAAAAAAACAAGTCCAGAGTCATTTCAGTGGTCTGACCTTGTTGTTTTCCATGTCTGTCTGTTTTTCTTGCATACATTTTATCTTGCTAACTGAATTTGACATCTGCTCTTTCTCTAACCAATGACGGCGTGTGTGTTTTTTCTGCCGAATGTCCTTCGTGTGTTGAAGAGCTAACTGCAGCCATGAGCAGCAACGAGTGCTTCAAGTGTGGAAGATCCGGCCACTGGGCCCGGGAGTGCCCCACCGGCGGTGGCCGCGGCCGGGGCATGCGGAGCCGCGGCAGAGGTGGTTTTACCTCGGATAGAGGTATTTTGTCGCATACAAAAAATTCGAAGCGCTTCGGTATTTGCGAGCTGTCTAGGCCGGTCTAATGAGGCCCGTTCTTTTTTTTGTTTTTTGTTTTTTTGTTTTTTTTTGCTTCTGTCCCAAATAGGTTTCCAGTTTGTGTCCTCCTCTCTCCCTGACATCTGCTACCGCTGTGGCGAGTCCGGTCACCTGGCCAAGGATTGCGACCTTCAGGAGGATGGTAAGTATTGAACACTTCCTTTTCTTTTTCTTTTTTTTTTAATTTCTTTTTTCTTTTTTTTTTTATTCCTTTTTTTTTGTTTGCTTATTTATTATTATTATTATTACTTTTGTTATTTTATTTTTTTTTGAGACAGAGTCTCGATTTATTGCCCTGGCTAAAGTGAGTGCCGTGGCGTCAGCCTTGCTCACAGCAGCCTCAGACTCCTGGGCTCAAGCGATCCTCCCGCCTCAGCCTCCCTCCCGAGTAGCTGGGAATACAGGCACGTGCCACCATGCCCGGCTCATTTTTTTCTATATACATGTTAGTTGGCCAATTAATTTCTTTCTATTTATAGTAGAGACGGGGCCTTGCTCTTGCTCAGGCTGGCCTCAAACTCCTGACCTTGAGCAATCTGCCCGCCTCGGCCTCCCAGAGTGCTAGGATTACAGGGGTGAGCCTCTGCGCCCGGCTTAGACTCTGTTTCAAAAATAGAAAACCAAACATAGTGAGGCGGGGTGGGGCAGGCCTGTCATCCTAGCACTCTGGGAGGCCGAGGCCGGAGGATCACTCAAGGTGAGGAATTTGAAACCAGCCTGAGCAGGAATGAGACCCGGTCTCTACTAAAAAAGAAAAAAAAGTAGAAAGAAATTAATTGGCCAACTAAAAACATATAGAAAAAATTAGCTGGGTGTGGTCACCCCTGTGCCTGTAGTCCCAGCTACTCAGGAGGGAGGCTGAGGCAAGGAGATCGCTTGGGTCAGGAGTTGGAGGCCTATCAGAGGGAGGCTGCGCAAGAGGATCGCTCGGGTTCAGGAGTTGGAGGCCGGCTCAGCAAGACGAGACCCGTGTCTACTAAAAATGAAAGAATGAGCGACAAGTAAAAAGTGAATAGGAAAGTAGCCGGGCTTGGTGCGCTGCATGTAGTCCGCAGCTATCGTGAGGGAGCTCACCAGGCGGGAGGATCGCTCGAGTCAGGAGTTGGAGCCAGCCTGAGCAGAGTGAATGTGTCTCCTGCTAAAAATAGAATTACTAATTGGCCACTAAAGAGATATATACTTAAACAACAATGAGCGGCGGGTGGCGCGGTGCTGTAGTCCCGCTTATCGGAGGGGGCCAGGGCGGGATGGGTCGGCCCAGCGGTCTGGCAGCCTGCGTGAGCGAGACTCTGAGTCTCAAAAAATATATATAAAATCCCCCCCACGCGGGAAGGTGTTATAGTCTCGGTCTGGTTCTTCCCCCCCTGCTGAAGCCTGCTATAACTGCGGCAGAGGCGGCCACATCGCCAAGGACTGCAAGGAGCCCAAGCGGGAGCGGGAGCAGTGCTGCTACAACTGCGGCAAGCCCGGCCACCTGGCCCGCGACTGCGACCACGCCGACGAGCAGAAGTGCTACTCCTGCGGCGAGTTCGGCCACATCCAGAAAGATTGCACCAAAGTCAAGTGCTACAGGTGAGGCCGCTGGGAGGGGACACCCCCCCCCCCCAGAGAGAACCTTCTGGAAACCGCGACGATGAGCCGGGCGGGCACATTCGGGGGAGGCTGGCCGTGGCCGGGGCAGAGACCTTTCGGGCCCACGGTAGGCAGCCGGCGCCATCAGCACGCCGGACTGTTTTCTTCCGTGGTGGCTCCGTAGTTCAGACCAGGGGTCCTCAAGCTTTTCTATTTTTTTTTTATTTTTTTATTTTACTTTCATTTTTTTTTGTTGTTGTTTTTTTTTTTTTTCCAGGAGTTGGAGGCAGGTGTGAGTGAGGCTGACACCCCGCACTGGTAGCCGGGCAACCAGAGTGACAGATCACCCTGCTGTCTAAGAAAAAAAAAATATAAATATAGTATGTAGTAATAGAGCATGTGGACAATTAGATAAATTTAGCTGTGTACATACCCACAAAATGTTAGGGAATTTAATTGCATAAAAAAGAACATTTTGGCCCCTTATGGTTTTTTTGTTTGTTTGTTTTGTTTTGTTTTTTTGTTTTTTTTTTTTTTTTGAGACAGAGTCTCGCTGTTGCCCAGGCTACGAGTGAGTGGCCGTGGCGTCAGCCCTCGCTCACAGCAGCCCTCCCCAAGCTCCTGGCCTCGAGCAATCCTCCCGCCGCTCCAGCCTCCCGAGTAGCTGGGATTACAGCGTGAGCCACCGTCGCCCCAGCCTGGGGGCCTTGCGGTTTTGATTTTGGTTTCGGTTGATCTCTAAGGGCACAGATTTTTAGTTGCATAGCTGAAGCCAGGCCACCTCAAACTCGGGCCCCGGGGGCCACATGCGGGTCGCCCAGCGCATTTATCCGGCCCGGCGCTGTGTTTTTGCCACGGCTGCCTTGTCCCGCTTAGCAGCCGAGCCGTCCCGGGCCCACAGTGCGCACGTGTGGAATTTGCGCCCCGCTCTCTCCGTTCTGTCTTAAACAGTGACCTGTTTATAAAGTTTGATCCTGCAACACACGAAAGTCAAAAGAAAAAAAAAAAAGCTGTCACCTACATGGAAAAAAAAAAAGGGGGAACCAAAAAGAAAATTTAAAGCAATTTAACATCTTATTAAAAAAAATAATAACAAAAAAAAATGAAAAGTTTGAAGACCCCCCTGGCTTTCGCGTGAGGTTGAGTTAGGTAGCTCCGTTAACCTAATGACTCCGCCCTGGCTGGGCACAGGTGGCCCACCGCCTGTCGTCCCAGCAATCTTGGAGGCCGGGCGTGGAGGCCCACGGCCTGGTGGTCCCAGGCTGCTTGGGAGGCAGAGGGGGGAGGATCGCTGGAGGCCAGGAATTTACGGTTTCTGTGAGCTGGGCGATGCCACGGCAGTCTAGCCCGGGCAACAGAGTTAGACTGTGACTCAAAAAAAAATAAAATAAATAAAGTGTACAATTAGATAAATTTAGCGTGTTACGTACCCATGAACCCTCAGAGATTAATTTGCATAAAAAGAATATCTCGGCCATTGCTTTGGTTTTGGCTGATCTTAGGCAGAAATTTTAGTTTCATCGCTTAACACTGTGCGGTTAAGTATCTCTGTTTATCTCCATGCTCCTTCCTGCCTGTAGTTTATTATTGATATGAAGTTTTAGTGCCTTGGAAAATGTCCTGTGTTTTTGCTTTTTAATCGGTGTTTGTTCTGTGGTGAGAATATTTTTAATTTAGTTTTTTTTAAATTTTGTCCTTTTTTTTCTTTTACTTTTTCTTTTTACTTTTATTTATTTACTTTTTTATTGTCTTTTTTAAAATTTTATTTAACTTTTAAGATTTTTATTCATTATTTTACTTACTTTTTATGTGACATTTCCCTTTTTTTTCCCGAGACAAGATGTCATATTACCATGTCCTTGTTTTTTCTTTTAACTTTTTTTTTTTTTTTTTTTTTTTTTTTTTTGAGACATGAGTCTCGCTTTGTTAGTCCCGGCATGAGTGAGTCCGTGGCGTCAGCCTAGCTCACAGCAGCAACCTGCAAACTCCTGGGCTCCAGCAAATCCCCCTCCCTGGCCTCCAAGGCCTCTCCCGACGTAGCCTGGGAACTACAATGGCATGTGGCCACCATGCCCGGGCTAATTTTTATATATAATTATCAGATTGCCCAATTAATTTCTTCTATTTTATAGTAGAGAGCGGGGTCTCCGCTCCTTGCTCAGGCCTGGTTTTTGAACCCTCCTGAAGCTTGGGAGGCAATCCCCGCCCGCCCTCCGGCCCTCCCCAAACGAGCTAGGATACAGGCCGTGAGCGCACAGCGCCCGGCTCCTTTTAACTTTTTTTCTTTCTTTTTTGTTCTTTTTTTTTCTCTCTTTTACTTTTTTCTTTTTTTTTGCTTTCTTTTTCGGTCCTT